AATTATACATTAAATTACATGTGATATATTTTAAATAATATTATTATAGTACCTTGAATCATTGTAACCCACGTGTCAGATTTATTGGCAATCTTTGTCTCCCCACAAAGTCCCATTACTGCTGGATCACGGGACATGCAAGCAACCATTCGAGTTAATGAATCAGGGAAAATTTTGGTATCTGCATCAACCTAATTATAGAAAATAATATTTAATTGTTTTTTTTTTGTCTGAAAATATAAATATTATTTTTTTTTTCAAAATAATTCCATTTTACTTACCATTAAAACCAATTCAAAACAATCAGGGGTAACACCACTCACGGTTCGAATAGCATTAAAGAATTCATATTCAAGTGGAGTCATTCTTTCATCAAACATAACCTTTTGTAGGAAACTCATTAAAATAAGTTGAGAATCACGTTTTCCACGATTTCCCGCTTTCTTTTCATCATCTCCTGGACCACCACATTTCACCAAAGTAATCATAGGTATACGACGGACTACTTTTAGTGAATCATCATTTTCATGATATTTATAATAACCAGCATACACCTTGGCTTTATTATGACGCTTTTTACCATCAGCTATTGCGACATATGAATGGGCTCGAACTTCTTCTTTTGGTACAATAAAACCACTCATCAATGAAAGACATGTTTCGGGTGTCGATAAATCATTACCTGCACCATATATAAGACCATCAGCAATACACATAATGATTTTATGAGAACTAGGATAATCGGTGGCAACCAAAGAATCCAATGTTGTCTTTAAACCTTGTCTTCCGTCAGAGTAACATGTAACTAACATGATAGTGTGCATTAAGGCAAAATTGAAACGTTGTACAGGTAAAACATGATCATTTTGATAAGGTGTACTTTGAATTGCAGAGGAGGTAGTGGAAGAAAGCGAATTTGCTCGACTCTGATAATTTTCATCGTTATTGATCGATGGTGGTCGAGAATCGGTAGAGAGTTCATTCGTTATCGCTGCGGAAGAACTATTAGTTGATGAAAGGTGAATAAGAGAACTAGCGGAACCGTTTTGAAATTTCTTCTCACCAGATTCCGGGAGACCGGAATTATATTGCCGACTAGTTGAACGATTATCTTGTCTTCGATATGGTGTGGCGGAGCCATGAATAGGTGCTGAATATCGAGATTTACTTGCATTAAAAGATGAAGAATTTG